CTTCTAAGAAACCATTCAAAACACAAACCATTCAAAACACAAACCAACCATAATACTTATAGCTTTAATACATGAAAATGATCTTGGAACTAGATTAGCAACTATATCCACATATAAAGCATCAACTAGAAAAATTGTCACAACATAAACATGGACACCAATCCAACTAAACTAACAAACTTGCATCAAACAAACTAGTATATAGCGAGGATGAAGGCAACAAACATAAAATAAGAGGGAGCTTTATTCATGGAAATGACAACATTCACAAAAAAGGTAAGGAAGGCTACCTTTGCTCTCCTTTTTTCTTCAAATAAATGTTTCTTTCTCTTTTTTTTGTTTTTTCTTTTGCTAGCAGCTTTTTCTTTCCTTTCAGCAACCTCTCTACTTTTTGGTACACCCATCTCCTTTTCTTTTTCTTTTTCTTTTTCTTCTCCTTCCCCCTTTCTCTATTCAGTTAGCTTCTTCTTTTTTTCTTTGCCATTTTTTCCCGTTTTTTTGTTTTATACTAGCTCTCTTTTTTTCCTTTTTTTAGCTTTCTAGCCCTCTCTTTTGACCAAACCCCCTCTTCTTCTTAAAAGTCAATCACCTAAAAAAAAATCTCATTCTTGGTGAATATAGACCTTTGGATGAGATTTCATCCAATGGTCAAAGCTTATCTTTTTATTCTTTTCACTGAACCACCTTTGGCCATTGGATCAAGATCAATAAAAGATCCAATAGTCTACATTATTCACTGTAAATGTTGGACTTTTATATCCTCAAAACACATGAAAAGACCATTTTACCCATAGTACAAAGTTTTCAGTATTTATACCATTTTCTTATAAATCAATGTTCCCATGCTCATTTTTTGGATTATAAAACACAAAAAATAATGAAAAATTATAAAATTGAGATATAAAAAGTTTCATAAAAATTTGAGCTTCGAAAGATCAAATTACAAAAATACCCTTATATGGGTATTTTAGTATTTTTACATTTTTTGGGATACTCTGTGATTTCAAATGCATCAAAAATTATGAAATATTATGAAATTAAGATTTGAAAGGTTTCATAGAAATCTGAACTCAAGAAGATTAAATTACGAAAATACCTTTATAAGGGTATTTTGATAATTTCACACTTCTTGGGGTACAGCTGTGATTTCAAATACACCAAAAATCATAAAATATTATGAAATCAATATCTAAAAAATTTCATGAAAATATCCCTTATAGAGGTATTTTGATAATTTTATACTTTCACTAGTGCAATAAAAATTTTTAGTGTTTTAAAAATCACCAAATTTAATTTTAAACCACAATGATTTCAATTAGACTTTGAACTTTGAAGATTAACCCCAGTTCTATTTATTTTGACCAACTTTTATGAAATTTTTAGTTGAGTTGACTTTTGGGGTTTACTTATTTCATTTATTCTTTATTTTCAATACATCCACGTGGAAAAATATCATCAATATAAATCCCATACGAAAAAGTTTGACAGTAATCATATTGGTCTTTTTTTTTATTAGGCCTAAATATCGAAGCATTTATAGGTTCAAGGGGCCTTTTTAAAGACTTCAAATGGGCTTTGTTTAACTATGTTAAAATATTTTGGACAAAATTTGGTATCTACAGTTAGCAATATAAAAGAGTTGCATAGAGAAGAAATCAAAGGCATTTTTGCTATGTATATGGCCACAATTCTAAACAAGTATCTAGGCCTACTTGCGACGTATGGTTGAGCATGAAAACTTGCATTTAGAGAGTTAAAGCGTAGGATCTAATCAATAATCCAAGGCTGGAACAACCAAAACTTGTCGCAATATGGTAAAGAAATCTTCATCAAATCAATTTTGCTAGCTATACCAATGTATGCCATAAACTGTTTTTTATTACCAAAATCCTTCTTTCAATAGATAAATAGTATGATTAAAAACTTTTTTTGGATTCATGGTAATGGAAGGCGAGGTATTCATTGCCTCAATTAGAAAATGCCATGTGTATAAAAGCTAAAGGAGAGTGAGATTTTGAGATCTAGAGAATTTTAATACAACTTTATTAGGCATGCAAGGCCAAGACTTTTAAAGAGCACAACATCTTTAGCATACCAAGTTTTAAAAAATTTAAGAGAGTTTTCTTGTTGAATTTGAGTTAGGTAGCATCCATCACTCACGTAGAGAGCATTTGGGAGGTAAAAGCTAAAAAGCACTTAGGAGGTAATAGCTATCGTGCATAAAAGAGTGAAATGTCAAGTTGATTTGAGTTAAGGTAGCATCCATCACTTACATTGAGAGCATTTAGAAGGTAAAAGCTATCGTGCATAAAAAAGTGAGATGACAAGTTGGAAATGGGCAATCTATAAATATTGGGAAAGATAAGTGATTACCACATCATAAATATTTTCAGCCACAATCACGAAAGAGACAATATAAATGAGGATGCTTTTTGATTCATAAATAGTTAGACCAACAAACTATGCATTAGATTAAGGATATTATTTACAATATCTTTACACTAATAAAAGTTAAGGCAACATGTATTATTCCTCATAGTAGATTTGGCTCCCTTGGTTTAAGGATATAACACTATGGTAATAAAGGGATTTATATTTTGTGTAGCAGATATATTTTGCTTTGTAATAAAGAACAACGTAATAAGGTAAATACAAGTAAAGAGGGAAGTAGTTCAACTATAATGCAACAACACTCTGCAGGAGTTTGTGGAAGGCCAAGGTACCAAAAAAATAAAAGTTTTACACATAGATACTAGAGGAAATTCTAACAGTGATGGTTAATCTTGATAAGTGAAAATTGAAAGTAAACAGGTTTTGCTTTCAGTATGGGTGAGCTGAAGAAACTGTAAAGCATGTTGTAAAAGATTGCCTTGCTACAACAAATGAGGTTTGAAAGCAACTAAACTTCCACTAGAAGTTCCACCAAAGTGAAGTTTCAAGTGCTAAAGAATGGCTAAAAAAAGTTATTAGTGGTCCACAACAACAACATTTTAATTCACTTGGACAATTTAGGGAAATAGGAATAAAGAAATGCATTGAGAGGCATGGGAGAATTCTTGAAGAACAGTGAACTTTGCAAATACTTAGTTCGAGGATTATGAGCAAGCACAACTGCAAAATGATGAGTTAGGGACTAAAAAATTACAGAATTGATACCCACCCCTAATTGATTGTAAACACCAAAATTTGCAACCAAATTGGTAATTAAAAAGACTACTTTTTAAAAAATAATGAAGGAAGAAATTGATAAACATATGATAGTTCCAATCAACTAGCTTGTTATTGATCAATGAGTAATTATACTGATAAGGACTTTTTTGCAATAAGCATGAATATGAGTGCCTTTTTCGAAATTTGGTGAATTCTAACACTTCAAATACTGATAGACTAAGGTTGTTTCCTTAACATAATTTTGAATCAATCTATTTATGAAACATTTTGAATTTGGAAAGACATAAGCATGTTGATTGGCGGTCATGAGTGTTGGTTAACACTATTATGTTGAAAGTTCTAGAAAATTAGTTAATTTTGGGAATTATCTCATTAATTACCTCTTGGAATAATTAACTTTGGAAATCATCATTTCCAAGTGATAATTTTTTAATTTTATCTCCAATTTGAGCTATCCATTAACTGCCATCTAAATTCTTCATTCCATCCTAGCTATACTTTTCGTTTCTTATTTTTCACATCACAACTTAGAATTTTATCTTCTTCATCTCGAGTGCTCTCTTTCACTCTCAAAAAGCTAAATGCTTGAAGGTCATCAGGCTAACTAGCCTAGCCTAGAAGTTTAAGTAGGGACCAAAAGTCTAACCTAGCTCAGAGCTCTTAGCTTAGGTAGATAAATTTTTTTATTAATCAGGCAAATTAGTCATGTTGAAAAACATGTAACTTAATATTTTGTGAGGGATTTAAATTTATCATAAGTCTCACAGCATACATAACATTTATTATATATCAAACTTGTAAATAAATCCTATCATGCCTTTTAGACATGCTTAGCATTTATAATATGTCAAACATATTTACAAATCTAGATGCAAACTACTTTGGATCATTATGGATTTTTACTAAACTAACTTTTTTAAGCCAATAAAGAAGTTGGATGGTCAAAACCTAGAGATTGCATCGATTAGTCTTCCAAAGCCATCATGTCGAATCTCCTTGGTGCTTCTATTCTAACTCATGTAATTATAAAAATTAAATAATTAGAAAATGAGAGTAACAAAAAAAATATATGCTAAAATTTTTTTAAAAAAATCCCTTCCTATTCTCTATTTTTTATTTCCTTTTTCTTTTTGTTTCCCTTCCTTTATCTTCTCACTAATTTTTGGATCAATTTAAAAAAAAAATTAGAGATAAACAAAATATACACCAAATTACCCCATCCGAGACCAAATTCGACCTTCATCTTGGAAATGACCTCAAACAGGTCCGACCCATGCAACTTAAAATGAAAATTTTGGGAAAATGACCAAATCCAGCCAATAGAGACCTTATCCAGCCTTTGCATGTTCTGAAGTAGTTCCAAGCTACTTGGATTTGGTATAATCTGGAATCAAAATAAAAAAATATATATCAAAGATTTTAAAAAAAAACCTTTCAGAAATTATAAAAATTGCTTAATACAGTTAAAGGAGGTCGGATCCGAGCCATCATTCAGTTCTCTTTAATATTTCTTTCGTACCACTTCCCCTCTGTTATGCAAAATCCTTACTATCATTTCTTTTTTATTTCAAATGTAAAAGCTAAAGCTAGGTGCCACATGGTGTTGACTTCATTTTTTTTCCCAAAATTTATGTTGTGAGCGGATGTTGGTAAAACATAGGACAAACATCTTTCTATATGTTATTGAATTTAACGATGAAAATAAGTATTTAACATTTTTTGTTAATAAGATTTATATATTAGTTTGTAAATGTTGAAAAAAAACAAAATTAAAAAGTTTTCAATGAAAATTAAATAAATATTATTTTCCTAAATCATTAGGCATAAAATCATATTTTAACATAAATATCTGAACTGAACAATATAATTATTGCCTTACAAGTAGTAAAACACATGTTGTATTTTTTATTTTTATTTTAGCACCAATGCAACATGCACTAATGTATAATAGTGCAATAAACATAATAAAATTTTATTTTCTATTAAAATATCTCTAACGACTTATTTAGCTTTTATATAGAAGAAATACTAAAATTGAAACTAAAATAAAGAGAGAAGAAAAGAGCATGCTAGTTCTTGTAAAATTTTTTAAACTGGATGGAAAAAGGGCTCTCATTTGGCCTTGGACTTAATGAGCTCAAAAGCATCTGAACTGGTTGGAAGACCTGGAATTGCTCCCTTTGTAGTTACACAAATTGCTGCACAAGCATTTGCAAATAACAAAGCTTCCCTCAATTTCTCCTCATCCTGCAAAGATACAAGACAAGTTTACATTATTAACAAGGGTTATGGTTTTATAAAACTGTCAATAAAATTTTTAAATTTCACAAATAGGTTTGTTAATTGATACATGTACACTAAGTGATAATTTATTAATTTTCGTCTTTATAATTACTTGAAGAAATCATGAATTTATAAAATCACTTGCAAGTTATCACTATAACAAAATGAAATCAAAGTCCAAAGATATAATGTAGAATGGGAAAGAAAATACATGGAAAAGATTAGTTTGGTTGGCCACTGAGAAAAGAACTGCCCCAACAAATGCATCACCAGCTCCAGTTGTATCAACAGTTTTAACTGAGAACCCATTGACCTTTCCTTTGAAATGCTGTTTCATTAGATGCATAGGAGAGAGTGAAAAAGCATTAAATAATGTAAAAGATAGCTTTCTTAAAAGACAACTAGAAAGCTTTTGCTACTGCCTTGAAAGAGAGAGAGAAAGGGAAAAGAGGAATTAAACCTTGGTGAAGTATCTGCATCCTTTTTCTCCATCAGTGACGACAAGCAACTTGAGATTGTCATGCCACAAAGACAACACAACATCGTCCCTTTCAGGATCCCCTTGAGTGAGAAAGGCCACCTCTTCATCACTAACCTACATTATTTTGCTCACTAATAATCATTCAAAAATTGCATATAAACAACAAAGCTCTAACAATATTTTTACTATATGAAATCTTCTTATGCAAATTATTTTTTTCTTTTATTTTACTTAACATTGATAGTCTAAATTTTAAAATTATTTTTATTTTGTACTCTACGTATTCGTGGGGTTTCATCTTGGCAATCTAGATTAATCTTATTTAGGTTGTCTTTCTTCATTAAGTTAATTAATCTAACTTAATCTCTTTTAAAAGTATTATTTTCAAAACTCATCTCTTAAGTTACAAATAAAAGTAAAGTCAAGAAAAGATTAGATTTGTAAGATTTACAAGCTTCGAAGATGTGAAGAAAGCAGTGCTGAATCTTAATTTAATCTGGTTATCGGACTATAAATATGGTGCTAATATTGCAAGATTTGCTCGAAAAAATATTTTTGGTGGAAAAGGTAAGTTCATGAAGTTGAAGTTGGTACAAGAACATCAGAGAGGATGGAAATTAATAGCAACAATCAAGGTGATAGGAGAGCTTCAAGCACAGCAGTGAATCAGAGTAAAGGTGATGGTCAAAAAAACATTTTTACAATCTCTTGTACAAGATAATAATTCTCCTTCCTTCTCTGATTTTGGTCAACAACATAACAAGAGTTTTACAAGCAACAGCTGGAAATCATGTGCAGAGGAAATAACCAACGAAACACTACATTGGCTCTCTAGAACTGTAGTGGATGTTTAAAAATTTTTACCGAAAGCAATGTGATTGGAGAGAGTAATTGATATAAGGGTGAAATTTTAAGCTAATGAAAAGACAAACATGGTTGACTGTTTATGGTGTTCCAGTGCATGCTTGGAATCTTAATACATTTGAGAATATAGCCAGCTTTTGGGGTGAGTGTGTGACCTTGGATTCTCAAACATTAAAATTTCAATCTTTCCTTCGTGGTGTTATGCTCATATACATAGATTTTTTTAAACAAGATTGAAGAATTTATCGATTTAACAGTTGGTGATAAGGTATTCGAAGTACGGGTTAGTGAGATTGATTCTAAAATAGTATCACATTTTCACAGGTATACCACAAAACCAATGTGTGAAGAAGCTAAAGAAACTATGAAGTAGCTAGTTCCAGCTCAAGCGAAGATGAAGAGTCGATGAAGCTGTATAATCTTCTGAAGGAAAATTATCTTCCCAATGAAGAAGATACAGAAATGGTTGCTGATTCTCATGAAAACAAAGAGACAAGTGCTTTGGTACTATATGATGATATTCAATGCAGGAACAAGAGAGAGGTGTACCAATGATGTGTCTCCAATTACAAAAGACGAGTCACTCGAGGAGCCACATATGGCTGGCTTTGACAGCATGATGAACAAGCAAGAGATTGTAGCTGATACGAATGATGAAAAATAAGTGGGCTTACCTCTCATAACATTTAGCCGTGAGATTGATAAAGCCTAAAGTAAGGATGACAACATTTTGAACCCTAATTGGGCTGTGGGAGATGAGTTGAACAAAAATAAAGAAACTCAGCCCATTAATGACACAAGGTTTTCTTTTTCCTATGTTTTAGAAACACGAAAGTGTAGACACCTCATTTAGTCTCGGGTATTTTTTAATTTAATTTTAGAATTTTAGTATTTTGTTTAGTTTAGAATTATTTATTTTGTTATTAATTGATTTATGTTTTAAAAAAAAAAGAAAAAAAAGAGTTTGATTTAGTTTGAAGTCTAGTGTTCTAATTAAAAAGAATGTATTGGGTTAAGAGGTGGACTTCGATTAAAAATTCAAAATTGACTTTGATTAAGAGATTGAAATCAAGAAAACCTTTTTTTATTATGATTTGGATTAAAAGCCTATAAAAAAAAACCCCATAAAGATGAAGGAAGAATTAATCAGAAAAATCAAGAGAGAAAGAGTAAAAAAAAAAAAAGCTTAGAAAAATTAAGAGTTTTTTTAGTCTTTTCTGGTTTTTGGATTTAGATAATTAAGATTTTCTTTCGAGAGTTCTATGTTGGGGAAAGGAGTTAAGAAGAAATACAAAAGGGAGGCATTTAACAAAAAATTTTAGCAGCAAATTTTTTAGGGTTTCAAGTATATATGTTTTAGGTTAGACAATCACCACAAGTGAGGGGCACTAGCGAAGTTATAGGCTATTTTGTAGAAAAACAAGAAAGAAGATAAAGGTAATTTTTTTCTTTTTTATTTGTATATCTATTTATGTTACTTAATTGTTTCTCTTTTTCTCTTTTACATATTTAAAATAAATTTTTATAATAAATTCATGATTCCTACCAAATTATTGAAGATGTAAATCTTGAATTATGAATTCTATCAAATGATTGGAGAATTTCATAATAAATTTTTAAAAAAATAATTTTTTAATCCTACCAAACGATTGGAGGATTCAAATTTTTGTTAAATCTTACAAAACTATTGAAGGATTTAATAACCTTTATTTTTAAAATTTTCATAAAAAGATTTTCAACAAAAATCCCACCAAACAATTGGGAGATATGCATTGATATAAAATCCTACCAAACAATTAGAGGATTTTATTGTTTGATTTAAAAAAATGATTTCTTAGAAAATATGTTAATGAATCTGACAACGAAACCTCTTCAGAGTAGGACACGAGTCTCCATGACTACTCCTGAGATGAAAAAATTATCTTAAATTACTACCAAATGATTGGAGTAATTTTAAGATCAATTTTCAATAATTAAATTTACTTGGTAAAAATTCAAAAATATTTTAAGGCTTAAATAACATGAAATCAAACTGGTACCATTATTTAATGGGTATTATGAAGGTGCCATAATATTTCTTACATGTAACTGTACTCTCAGATCTAGTTTTGGTTTTGTAGACATAAAATTTACCTTTTAAAGATACCTAAGTTAAGCTTGAAATTTTTCTTTAAAAAGGGATAGATTCACTTAGGTGGCCTATCACACCTTAACAAAAATGATTGGTGGTAACTCCTTAGATTAGATCTAGCTATAGGTCTATGGATTTATATGTTATGACAGTTTGACAACTTCACTAAGGACTAATAGAGAGTCAAGCCATAACATTTTAAATTTATCATATCCTTTGAGCTAACAGTTTTAAATTGTAATGATTGTGTTATTTGTTTACTAACATTTTTTTTATCTTTTATTTATGGGGGTTTGAAAATTATATATCCCTTCACACACACTATCACATGTATTTGCATTACATAAGCTCTATACCCGAGCTCTGTCTCTTTTAGGAGAGAGAAAAGTACCTATGCTCTCATAAGATGATAATCTTCGTAATGGCTAATAAAATACTCCCACTTAAATTGACTCATTTCCATTGGTAGCCTATGATGGGTAAAGATTGAAATGCTTTACTAGTTTATGATGAACAATAAAGAATTTAAAAACCTTTAGTAGTCAAAATCACTTAACCCTACATATAATCTACACTTAAGAGGCCAACCTTAAGATAGAGTCATTCCTATCTGTCGATGGATGTAACCGAAGTTAGGACACAAGAAGGAATAATTTGTTTGATATATTAATTGTCTAATCATTTTATTTGTTTGGCTTTGTGCATTTGCATCATTTTAATTATTATAGTGTTTGCATTATCATATTGTCTATGCATCATTTTCATTGTCATGTTTAATATTGTGCATTTGTATCATTCTCATGTAGGAAATATTTTACCACAAATCAGTTATTGATAAACCAGATTTCATACCTATATCCATGAAAGGCCAAATGCAATCAAAGTCTGTATCAATTCATTATGAATCTACTCATCAATTGAAAATTAAGTCAGGGAAAGGTAAAAAAAAAAAAAGGTAATTGTCTGCCTAAAGGTTTTATTTCATCATTGCCTAAGGAGTTTATCCTAACCTCTAACAAAATGACTTGGTTGACTTAAGCAATGTTTGGGGATGCATGACTAGGACAAGGTAGGAGGTATTTGAGAATAAATATGGGGATATAGCTTCACTGCTCCAAGTAGATATGGACAATAATTTGATCAGAGCCATTCTTTAGTTTTGGGATTCTTCTATAGGTACTTCGTCTTCAATGAAGTAGATATGGTACCAATAATTAAAAAGTACATGATCTTATTTCATTTTGATTTGTCAAACATAAACAAGATTTATTGGTCAAAAGGTGGGTTATCGTAAGAAGCTTATGCAAATGCTTAGACTCATCTTACCTTAAGTTGATGCATGTGTCAAAATAAAAGGTAAGAGTAAAGGTATTCCATGGGATTTTCTATGAAACTTCATTCAAGAGCATTTGGGTGATGATCAAGAAATAGTAGCGATGGCTATAGCTCTATATGGATTAGTAATCTAGCTCTGTATATATTGGTATTCTTTCCAAAAGTTATTAGATATGTTGATGTTGCAGTGATAGATTTTGTTGATCTTTTAGAACATAAAGTCAATGCAACACCAATCATTTTGGCAGAAACCATCCAATCTTTGAATTACTATCATATATATGGTAAAGGTCGATTTAATTGATGCATACAACTGCTTTATGTATGAATGAAGAGTCACATCGAATGTGAAAAAAGCAAGTTTTATAAACCATACCTTTATTCCAGTATTATAATCAAGGAGTTTTGTTATAACACATTACCTAAAACAAAGTTGAAAGAATAATGGATTTCATTTATTTGGGCGCTTGATAGCCAAAAGATAATTTGAAGAGTACCTTGGATACGTCATGATCTAGTATTATACAACTATGGGAATCAACCTTGGGTTTTCTTATTAAGTATGCTCTAACTTTGGTTAAAAAATAGTCTGGATGTGAGCAATTTATTCTAGAAACATACGGACTTAACCAGTGAAAATTTTTTTTACCAAAAAAAGAGCTTATGAAAAGATTGAAATAATAAAAAAAAGTATAGAAACAGACTGTCAAGGTTAACCAAGGAAGGCTTACATATGATATTATTTCAAAATATTTTGTATGGCATGCAAGGAAGAGTAAGGACA